CCTTGAGGACGATATTCCCACTCAGAGCAGCCAATCCACAGAGAGGACCACATGGCCGGCACCACTATGAGACACGACATCCCTCACTGTCCCATAGCCCTACAGGGACAACACTGTAGACACAGTGTGGGAATTCTGCCCAATCTGATCCCACCACACCGAGGCAAACACTAAGGACATGGAACAGAACAGCAAGGGGAAACAGAGCAACCAAGTCCCCAGGGAATACCAAAAATAGACTTTGGGGTCAGGGCTTGGTGCCCCAACAGACTTGACCGGACAACACTCCTAAAGGCCAACAAACAGTCCTTGAACTAAAAAGAAAAAAGAAAATGATGATGGCCACAAATGTACAGATGTGCTTGACACAATGAATGTATGTATGGATTGTGAGAGTTGTAAGAGCCCCCAATAAAATGATTTAAAAAAGAAAAAGATGCATAGTTTTAAGAATTGAAAAGTGAGAAGGGAAAGAGATCTACATACCCATATATCTTAATGAACCTCCTATGTTGTAGATACTTTGTAATTTGCACAGTACTTTTAGATATGCTGTGTCCTGGACAGGGCAGCACCACAAGTCTCTGAGTTATTATTACCAATTTATAAGGGAAAAAATGAAGACTCACAGAGACATGTGAACTTGTTCAAACTACTGAAAGGGTTCCAAACCCTAGCTCTCAACACTGCTCTGCAATCCTATCTCCCAGCACTAGCATTAGCCAGTAGGAGATATTTGTAGGTCTTTTGACCAAGGATCCTTCATTGGGTTAAATTCTCACTCCAAGCAAAAGGATATGTACTAGTATGTCTTGTCTTAGCACGAATAACAATCATTACATTGGGACAGATTCCTAACACATGTCTTCCTCCTCCCTAAAGGTAGCTTTGCCATGTCCTCTTGAATCTGTGAATTGAGTCAACAGGCAATAGACTAGTTGCTCCTAAGGATGAGGCATTACCTCTCCTCCCTCCAGTTTTTCCAGAGTGCTCCCCACTTGAGGATCCTGGCTCTTTGATCTCGGTATCCTGGTACGAAATCACCCAGGCTTCAGTGGTTGTTGTTTTTATGTTGTATGACTTTACTAATATACATTATGATTCCCCTATTCTGCAGCTCTCTGTTGTATCTTGAGTTCCGTTTCTACTCATTTCCTTTCATTCATCAGTTACCTTAGGACAGAAGGATCTACAACTACTGGACAAAGGAATCAAAATAAGACCAAACAAAGCCAAGCAAAAGGAACGAAACACAACCAAACCAGTGGCTACTCATGAGTTCTGACGGAATCCAGGGCCACCTTGTGCCGTGAGAGTAGAACTGTGCTCCATCCCGTTTTCAATGGTTGTGGGTATTTTTGGCACTAGAGCACCAGGCCATGCTTCTGAGTTCCTTCTGGGTGGACCCCAATTCTTATCTGCTCTGGTCACCATCAGCTTAACCACCTGTGCAGCCCAGAGAACAAAGGGATCCTCAGCATTTCTACATTCTCTGGGTTGCAAAGGCCCAGCCCACCTTGACTCCATCATTTGGACAGTCACAATCATACCACCACTGACTCATGGCCTTTGGAAAATTGGATTTCTTTCCTGTTTCTCATGGCAGCACAGGTGGACCAAGACTGTTTTTTGAAGGCACAACAAGTGGCTTCTCTATCTCTCAAGAGGTACATCTGTCTAGTATGTACGCCAAGAAATGAAAATTCAGAAACCTCATGGATCATTGCAATGGTGCCAAATACATTCTACCAAATGCCACCGGCGATGATGACAGCCTGTCACTGGGAGATGTGGTGATCAATGACAGTCTGAGAAACACACAGGGGCAGCTCTCTGTCCTACAGGCCTGATGGCAGTCTTTATTTAGTTATTTTTTGAACATCAAATTTGCGACTTGTCCTCAGTGCACTACAAATGACAGAGGGCCCCATAGGTAGTTTTAGCTATAGGAATAAGAGCTTTCGTGATTGTGGGAACGAAGGGATTGAAGAGCTTCCTTGAGTGAAAAATGTCTGGCGCAGGATACCAGGGTCAAGTAAGAACCACCTGCGATTCATTATCTTTTGCTGGCAGCACCCTTATAAATGACTCCAAAGATCAGACAGGGTATGACTAAAGCCCATTCTTTTGTCCTAATCAACCTGGTGGGCTGAGACTGAGGCAAGGTAAATAACCCCTTGTAGTTTATTCACGGGAAAGCCCCCTAGGAATGGCCCCTCCTGGAAGCCTGCTTGAGAGTCAGCTTCCAGGGAAGTGTTAGCACCCCAAAGTCTATTAAGATTTGGGGTTCAACCACAAAGCTGTCTTTGATACAAACAGGGCCAGGAAGTCACAGCCAAGGGCAGATCTGCTTGGGTGGCCCAAGTTTTTGCTTTCGTTTCATCATCCAGGCATCACAGGAGGTCAAGGGAAGCTGCAGAATGGCAAGGCGAGGCCGAGGTGCCCGCGGAGGCTCTGAGGGGAGCTGAGATTCTGGGAGGGAGGGGAGAGCGGAGCGGGCTCCGTGCGGACGTCAGGAACAAAAGCTCCGGTGGCGGAGTCTGGCGGCGGCGCTCGGGGAGCATAGGGTGTTTTGAATAATTACTGAAATTAGCATGTGTCTGCGCCATCCTGTGGGTGTGGCGCAGAGCGGAGCGTAAACTCCAGCGCGGCTGGAGCAAACAGTGGATTAGCGGCAGCAGCCGGCCAGCCAGCCCGCCCGCCAGCCCCGGAGTGCAGAGCCGCGCGCCCTACGCCCCACCAGCACTATGGCCTCGTCCCAGGGGAAGCCGGAGCTGACCTTCGCCGACTGGATGGCAACTCTGCCGGAGAGCATCCACAGCGTCCCCCTCACCAATTTAGCCATTCCAGGTAGGCGCGCGGACGCTGCCCGCGGGGCGCTGCCCCTGCCCCGCCCTGCCTTCCCGGCCACCAAGTGGGAACACGCCTGGGCGCCCTCGGGAGACGAACTCGCCTCCGGGGGGTCGGGGTCTGGGAGTGTGCGCCGCCGGCTGCCCGGCCTTCTCCCCACCGCTGGGGACCCTGGCGCCCAGCGTCAAGGTGACTGCCTTCCCCCTGGCCGGCTGGGGCAGCAGGCTGTGTGCGCAGGGCTGGGGCGTGCTGGCGCCCGGTGCCCCCTGCCCGGATTTCTCCCGCAGATTTGGGGTGGGGAGGTGGCGAAGGGGTGCAGGAGATGTCTGGGTCTGGAGAGAGAGGGTGCGCGGTCAGCGCAGGCTGCTGCCCTGGGCGCCGGGCTGGGGTGGCGGGGGGCTCCTCTCCGGCGCGAGGGCACCAGCCCTGGCAGGGTATTGAGCGGATTGGTAGATTTCTCCGTGGGAACCAACTCGGGTCCTTCATCTTCGCCCCGTCTCCTTTCAAGAGACAAAGCGCTTTCTGTAGAAGAGCGATGAAAGTTCAGCAACTGGCGGCGGCGGCGGCGGCGTGACCGCTGCCCTTGACCCGGAGTGGAAGGGGGCGCGGGGCGGGAGGCAGAGCTTCCCGGGCGCCGTGGCCCCCAGAGGGCCTGGCTGACCCGAGTGGCCGCTGACCAGAGCCGCAGCCGGCCCGCGTGCGCGGTGGAAGCTTGTAGCCCCGGGTCCGGAAAGCAAAGCCCGCCTGTCCGCCGGCTTGTCATTGTGTTAGGTGCTCTGGCCAGAAGCCGCCAGTGGGAACCTGTGTGAGCAGCGGCAGTCCGGCTGTCCGAGGGACAGGGCAGGCAAAGGTGACTGCGCCGGTGTCCAGCCAGCCAACCACAGGAGGCGAGGACAAACAGGGGAAGAAATCGAGGGTTCAAGAGACTTCATGGTGCGCGCGACTTCAGTCAAAGGACCCGGCAGGTTTCTGGTACTGGAGCGCTCAATGGCCTAGGGCTCAGGTTCCTGGAGGGAAGGTGGTTTCAGATTAGCTAAGGACAGTGACAGCGGGTGACATAGCCAAACCTTGCTACCAATTTGACGATGCACTGGAGCTGTGTGAGCAGATGACTGGTAGCCAGTCCCCCATCCCAGATGAGCCTGGTTATCAAGTTCCAACTCTAGGTCAGCTCCCTCTTGATCCACCTTGTCCAGCGCCCCCTCTCAGGCATCAGGAAAACATACAGAAGCAGGGCATTTCAAGGGCCTCTGATCAGTTACTCAAATCCATGGTCTTTAGTGAATTGGATGCTTGCCAGTCGTCCCTGCCAACACAGGCCGCCCTCAGAGCACTGTCCTGTGAGGGCTGGTTTCCGTTCTTCCTCTTCCAACAGGTAGATCCCCGAGGACTTAGGGATCCCCAGGGGCAAGAACAGCCCTGCTTCTCCACCCTGCACTAGCCCTGCTACCTGGGTGAACCTGGGAATTGCTCTTTTGAAGGAGACCGTAAAAAGTACATAACTTTGTTGGCAAAATTCCACTCTCACTTTCATCGGTGTTCCTGTCCTCCAGTCTTCATGCCTTTGTGTCTGGTTATTGGACAGCCGCTACGTGTGTGCACACAGGGACAGGAAGAAGGGCAAAGGCTGTGTGGCCAGTCTTCTGGCAGGGGACTCTCCAGGGACGCAGGGATTTCAAAGAGTTTCAATACACCCAATTCATTCTCAGAGGGTGACCGTGACACCATGTTTCTAGAACTCTTCACTAATATGAGTGTGGTAAAGATATATAGCAAGTTTTGGGGGGTCTCTTCTGCATTCATCACCTGTGCAATTCAGGGACATTTGTTATGCTGATCATGTTGGTTCATCATCACCACTATTCATTTCCCAAAACTCCCATCACCCTTAATAGAAGATCAACGTCCCCTAAGAAGTGACTCCCCCACCCCTTCACCTTTCCCCTTCCTCCCAACTGTGCTGCCACCAAAACCAAACTCACTCCCACCGAGTTGACACTGACTTCTGGTGATCCTGTGGGACAGGGTGGAACTGCCCCTGTGAGTTTCTGAGACTGTACCTCTGCGCTGGAGTAGGAAGCCACGTCCTTCTCCCAGGGAGCTTCTGGTGGCTTCCAGTTGCTGACCTTACAGTTAGCAGCCCCAGTGAGCAGCCATCAGGGCACCAGGCTCCTCTATCTGCCTCTGGTAACGATGTAATGAACTTTGGTCTCTATACGCTTGACTGTTCTAGATATTCCAGGAAAGTAGACTTCACTTGTAAAGCTCTGCTGTGTACACTCAGGAATGGCTCATCTAATCCTAAAAACCCTGTGCAGCAGCCAGGGCTGGTACAATTATCTCCGATTTACTGATGAGAAAGTGGAATCATAGTGAAAGCAAAGGATCTTCAGTTAAGTGATCCACTCCCTAAACTAGATCTTAAGGAAGATCTCCAACAATTTTGGAGGGAAAAGCTTTGGGGTTTGTATCTGAATGACTTGTCAGCAACAAGTACTAGCCAGGGTGAAGAGACAAGGATTTAAGCATTAACAAGAGCAGAACAACTCTCCTCCCGATGGGATTTGCTATTGATCAAAATTCTAGTTTTCAAACGGAATATCTGAAGCTAGTGACTTTGATATTCTGGTAGACTTATAGAAGAGATATAAAGATGATGCACTGGGCATTGTGGGAATGGACTTCCCACCCCCTCGGAGTTTTATACACAAAATTGATCCCCCTCAAAATTGTCCCTTCTTACCGCAACACCTCTAAAACATATCTCACCAAGTCTATCACCCCTGAATTACTTCTATAAAATAATTTTGCTAGATTCAATCTTACAAAACTAGATCTGAAATCGTCTTCTTTGGTACCCGTCTACATTATTTAATGGTGAGGATTTTTGGAGGAAAAAGACAGTCAAGCTTCAATAGAGAAGACTAATTGGAGACTATTAAACACTAATGGAATAATTGCCTTAAAATCATGCTAATAGCTTCCTGGCTGCTACATGTTTACTTGGCCAGGTGCTACAGCGTGAATTATGTAATTATCTCTACCATTGCAAACCACTCCTGGTGCACCACACAAATGTTTCTGTCAAAGAGGCACTGCGGCTCAGACTTCCTCACAATCTCAGGTTTTCTTAGGTGACGCAACTCGAAAGGGAAAAGCTGCCCAGATTACCAAGTACTGTCAGAAGGAACAATCTCTAGGTGTGTAATATCTCCCATCACCGGTGCAGCTCCTTTACTTTACATAGTTCTCAGGTGTTTGCTGCTTAAAAGCTTTGAGAACCCCTTTACTGGATGGCTGCTTTATGTTTAAATGTCTTCTTGATTAGGTGTTGACTGTGATGAGAAATCAAGTTAGTCCCTGGTATTGGTTAGGAGCCCTGGTGCCACAGTGGTTATGCTTTGAGCTTCTAACTACAGGTTCAACAGTTCAAAACCACTAGCTGCTCCTAATGAGAAAGATGGGTCTTTCTACTGCTCTAAAGAGTGACATTCTCAGAAACTCAGAGAGACGGTTTCTACCCTGCCCTATGGGGCCACTGTGAGTCAGCATCCACTTGATGGCAGTGAGTTTGTTTTGGGTGAGTTTGGTATTGATTCTTTGACTTTCAATATATTTTCCAAAGCACTGGCACTGCCAGAATACATTGACAGTTGCCATGATGTTGTTCTCTTTTATCATCCCCCAGCCAATGACATCAAACTAATTTTACCCGCAATACATCTTTGGGTAACAGGATCCTGGCACTTGGCTTATAAATACTGCTTCTTTTCACCAGAGGAAGGTGAGAGATGATAAAGAAGGACACAGAAAGTCCAAGTGCATCATTCTGATAGCGGCTAGTCTGATGGATTTTCTGGGTCTTTGAAGTCAAATTCTACCTCAGTAATCATGGTGGCTCCAGGATCATTTTAAAGCTCCATCAAGGGTTAAGCAAGGTGTTGCTTGACTTAGGCAAGAGGTTATAATGGAAAGGTGTTTGCAATCTGACTGTGTTCAAAGGTAAATGACTGGAAGGGCTTTCTGTTGTTGGATGAATGTCTTCATGGATTGCAGTAAATTAACCATAAGTAGTGAAATACTGGCAGAAATGGGGCTGGAACTTCAGAGAGAATGTATGTTCTCTTGAATAGGGAACTGTTTATTCTTTTCCTACTTGAGAAAAGAAGATGTGCATTAGCAACCAATGATTATACCTCTGAATTTCATTCATTTCCTGCAGAAAACATCAAGACCAATGGAAAAGCATAGGGAAACTAAGATTTTATACAGCTCTGATTTCTTGTGCATTTGTATTTGCTTTTACTGGTTTTTAATTTCTTCCCTCACAGCAACCCCATCCATTTGTTGCTGGTGATCCTGGCAGTAATGGTCTTCTTCCTCATCTTACTATTTCTATTCTGATACCTTGACACAAAACTCAGGTTAAATCTGGCACTAGGTCTAATTGTGTGAATGCCTTTTGAAAAAGCAGTCTCTTCCTGCTTCCAATCTTTTCCCTCAAGATTGTGATATCAAAGTTAATCTTTCAAAAACAATCTAAAAACAACATTTTCTAGGAGGTATGTTCCTTTCCACTGCCCAAATTTGTTTCTGACTTTGCATAACAAAACATGTTGATGAATCTTTGGTCACATCTTTTCCAGTAGAATTTTTTTTTTTCCTCTTGGTGTGTTGAATTGAATCCTTAACTACTGCCAATCAATGTAAGGTGATGTGTGTGTGTGTCTAACAGTTTGCAAAGTGTGTTCCCATTCACACATATTTTTAAAGTCTCTATCAAATCTCCTCTAAGACTTGGCTACCCAAAGTTGGTCTAGAGACTAACAGTATATTTCTGCCTGGGATCTTGGTAGAAATGCAGCATCTCTGACCCCACTCCTTTGTTGTTGGATTAGTTGCTTTTGAGTCAGTGCTGACTCATGGCAACACCAAGTATAGCAGCAGGCACCGTTGCCCAGTTCTCTACCATCTTCATGAACATAGAGACACTGGAATTT